AAACGTACTTTGAGCTTATTTTCCATAAGAACAACTGGGCAATGTATGCAAATGTCTTTTCGACAAATGTCCAGTCAAAGTAGGGCAGAAAAATGAGGGGTCGTTTTCTGATGAAGTACGCCCCCCTCCTTTAGACAAAAAACAGTGAACTTGCTTTTTCGTAATTTAAATAGTGTTTCATATACTTCGAGTGCCAGCCAATTTAATGGCGAAAGAATTTTTATTCTACGACTTTTCCTTCTATAAAAGATTTGAAGTTTTTCAGTTTAAAAACGTTTTTCATAGGGTTTTCCACAAGTCCGGTCTCTGAAAAACCCACTGGAGGACTTTGTTGAAACTGGAAAACTATTCCATTAGAAAGAGAATCGTCAAAAACCTATTTATATATATATATAAAAGTGGTTCAGATAATTTCAGTCCACTTATAAAGTTAATGTCGGCCTGCTCTACCGAAAAATGCCCACTGTGCGTTAAATATCAAATACGTGAGCTTTAAATTCAGATGTAAGGCGCAGACCAAGTCACATTATATTCCAATAAGCAAAATGCCATGTAAGCAATAAACAAATATAGGGTGTTTCCACGGAGTCGGTATTATGTTTATATCGACTTCGTTCGCATAAGCTGGAACCATTTTTAATGAATGATCCATAAGTAGGGTTAGCGTAAATCGAGTTAAAAAAGTTTGAAAATATTGGCATCATAGAACGTGAAATCTGGACATTTGCGTTTTGAGGATCCAGTAACACTAAACTTTTGGCTACGTAAACACTTCTGAAAGAAATTTTAAGGTCATTAGGTTTTCTAGAAAACGGGTTTTTCAGAAATCCCTATCTCAAGACCCCGAGATGTAGCATAACTTTTCTTCATCGAAATATATAGAACTCGACGCGCTCTTTCATTTGATACCAACTTCAAGGTTCTACAATACGAAATATGGTCAGCAGACGTTCTACAAGTTAGACCAAATCCGCAGGAAAATGCATTTTCCGCTTCGGGAGTGAAATGGCTATAACTTGTTTTCTAACAAGGCTAGAGACTTGCGATTTTCACCATTCGGTTCAGCTTACTGAGCTCTATAATATTAGACAGGTCTCGTCACTGACGTCAAAGGTCGATGTAAATGGTGCTAGATTTTATATGAATTGAGCCTATCCGTCAACGCCGAAAACATCACTGTCTAGTAGTAATATCCGTAAAAGTGAGTGTTTGCACTTTCAACCAGAAATAAATTACTAGCCATTTTGTAGAGTTTTGAAAGAGCTTTCTTTTAATATATATTTTGGGCCGCAATCTAGGTTCTCTCATGGTGAAGAAGTTGAAAGACTATCGCGGACTATGCTGAAAAGGTCATTTTTAACAGTAATATTCCAAAAACGTGACCGTTCGCAGTGTACGTAACAATTAAGCAATAGATAGTTCTATTCGCCGTTTAAAGCTGCATCGAATGGTATATGAGTGAGACTTTTCTTTAAAGTTCTTTCATTCTGAGAAAACTACGAAAAACACATCATAATGTGTTCGCGAAGCTATCGATCAAAGTTAATCGATTTTCTTATAGATATCAAGTCCAAACGGAAACCAGGGATCTGAAACACCATAAAATCACATGCTCTTTCATTCTAGACTCCTTTTGTATCCGCTTGGATCCGCATGGATGCCGGAGCCGCTTTTCCTCCCTTGGGTACCCCCCTAAAAGCTGAAAAAGTCATCAAAAACTTGAAAAATCAAATTTGATTGGGTCACAGTTACAAGACATTGAGATGGAGGAAATCGTATCTTGTGTGACTTGAACGCCCATGTCGAATAGGTACGAAAAACATATGAAAGCAACCTCGGAAATTCGAGCTTATATAAAAAACGAGCGTGAAACAGGCAAAAGCTCAGAAATTCCCATCCGTATATCGAATTTTTCGACTTTAGTTTAAAAGCTATGAAATTTATTGTTTTGCGGTGAGGGTGAGTCTAACAGGTACAAGATCTATAAAGTTCATCTTGTTTATTTAACAATCAACCACTTTATTTTTAAGATACTGTACTGGGCTTCATATCTTCTGTCCTGCCACCACTTATTTGATTCAAGTTATTTTTTAATAAACATCAGCGAAAGTAAACTTCGATACAAGTCATAAAGCAGACGTTGTGTTTTATCATCTTTTGGCCTCTGTGCTGTTTCACATACTTTCAAATGAGTGCAATAGTGTATGTGTTATGCAGAAAAACGAATTGATTTATTTTAAGCTGTCAGAAGTTACGATAAGAAGAAAAAATATGCGTTACGATGAAGCGATACGTCAAAGAAAGAAAAAAATGATGAATGGTTATGAGAACTCGTATGACTTCAAGTCAAAGCTCCTGAGATGGACTACGTAGCGTGACAAACAAAAGAAAGGCCAAAAAATGTCCAAAAATTGACTGAGAAGAAAGCTCATCTAAGTGAAACTTCCTGTGGGACTTTCTGAAAAACTTCTAAAAAACCCATTTTATTTCATACCGTACTTTTTCTAAAAAAGTTCTTTATATCCACTTTGGTGTGTCAAAAACGCAGGTTTTCTGAAAACCATGTTTCCGCATGTTTTGAAATACTTTGGAGTTGCCCATTCCAAAGATCGTTCTTCTGTACGGTTAACTACTGGAACTCATCGAAATTGATTTTTCTTTCGCAAGAACCGCCGACGTATCAAAAGTGTTTCTTGAATCATTGTTGGTCATCTTTAGCTAATTCACGTAATGTTGACTTGTATAGGTGAGAAATGATAATTGATAATTTTTTCTTTTATTCAGCAAGAAAACAGAGAGACAGTTCTCTTTCTCTGCCAAATTACCTGTACATTAGATGATACAATTCTGTTGTTTACACCACGCTCAAAATTCGATATCACCATTTTTTCGTGATGAATGAAAAAAATTGAGAGAAAACTTTAACGTTAGTAACAAAAACGCCTCCTTTTCTTCTCATTCTCTCGTCACTCATATGAGTAGGCTGGTGTCTCGCATGTTAAAAACAAATATGATTATGATCCTTGTCAACAATTCAAACACAAACTATTCTATCGTTTACATGGCTTCCTACGAAAAGAACGCGAGGAAGTTTTCTTTTACCCGATGAGACCATCAAGAATTTTAATTTTTTGCTTCAATCAAATAAATGGAAAAAAAAATCTATATTTTTTGCTTATGTCATTTCGACTAATATACCATTTGTGTGAGTCAATGTCACCGATACTACAGAGAAATCTTTCTCTATATATACCTCTCAAATGCAAATAACAGAGAGAACATCAGTATTCAATTTCTGTTATACGCAAGTAACGTACGATAAGTTTGAAAACAAAATATCAAATTATTTGCTCAAGAATGTTTTATTATAATCCATTTTGTTATTGTTTGGTAATCCTTGCTAGTAAGTAAACTAAGGGACGATTAAATTTTAATCCAAACAGCACCTGATTGATATTTATTCTTCCAACCTGTGGCTCTTCTATCTCTCATCTGCTTCTTACGAGCGAACCTCGCGAACTGCCACATCGTTTTTTCAGCAAAACCTAGTGAATTATAGGTTATCAACTATACTGAATCCGAATATCATAGCAGTAGCTGTCCGTGTCAATGAACATTCCGAGCTTTTCTTGAAAATTCTATAACTTTGCAACGAAAGGTCGTGCAGAGCTGAGAGAAGTCTCATTTTAATCACGAATTTGCGGGCTACAATCATGCTTCTTTAAGAAAGGTTTTTATTGCTTTTCAGAGTTTCTGAAAAACTTGTCTTCCAGACGACTCTCTGAAGACCCTTGGGCAGCTACTACTATGATATTCTGGTTTAGCATAGTCTGTAATCTATAATCCACTAGATTTGGCTGGAAAAACGATGTGACAGTTCGCGAAGTTCCGCCATTAGAAAATATTTTGGAAGTGCTTAAACTGTCGTTGTTGTTTGAAGAAATACGGTATTTTCAGATAACAAGATTAGTAACATTCTGTACACAGAATGTACACGAGTTAGAAGATATAGTGAAAAGTTCACAATTTCTTTTGTAGTTGATTCTTTCGGTATTTTAAGTTTATTTTGAGCAACTATTGATAATTTTTTGACATAATTTTGAGATATTACAAAGCATAATATTTTTGTACCAGAAGATTAAATTTTACTAATAGGGTGAAAAAAACGAAAATAGTACGATCTCGTCCATTACCTGTGTTTTTCTAAATGGCTGATGTAATAGAAGATATTACGTTGTTGTTTTGAATTATGTATATTGTTGAAGTTTTCTTTGACCTCTGTCACATAAATTACATAAGTGACGTTCATTCGTTCTATTCTAGCTGTTGTATCGGGTCAAAATGATAAATATTCCAAATCTTCACTGTTATCAGCTAATAGTCTCAGACAAACGCTGGACACCAGTAATAACGAAGACACTCGTCAATTAAATGAACGACTATCCAACCCAAATATCGGCGAAGAGAATGATAATGAAGCGGAAGAAGAACCTCGATATTCAAAATTATTGAGACTATTACAGCAAAAATCAAAAAAAAAACATAATATAGAAGAGAATGAAGCGTCTTTACACAAGTTAAGTAAACGTTTCTTCTTTTTTCGACCAGACAGACGTGTGCCGTTAGTTCGAAATCCTCGACCCGAGTACACGTATGGACGCAAAGCTCATTGGGATACTTTTTTTGGTTAGTCATATGTCTTAACTTTGATGATCTCAGTCTATCGATGCAATAAAATTGTTTTCCTCATCTGTCTTCCAATAGGCGCGTTATATGAGAAAAGTATCTGAGTAACGACATGGCGCATTTCGATGAAATCGACAGTTTAAGAGTTTTAAAGGGTGCCTGTTCTTCTGACTAACTTAAAAAAAGTTTAAAGTGAGCGGAAATAGGACTTCCAGAAAGCCGTGTTTTCTGAAACACTGCTCAAGAATAAATTATTTTTCCAAAAAATCTATGGTCTTTAAAAAAGGTAGGTTTTAGGCAGGACGATCCTTTTTTTTCTACGAACTGCATACAACCAACCTACTTCCCAGAATCCTCTCAAAACCAGTATGGCACTCTTTGAAACCTTGAGTTTGACATTTGCTATCAGGCATCATCCTGTTATATTTCACTTCAAAGCTTAAAGTAAGAAGCGATCCGGTATCAGAGCAACTTTAAAAACCCTATATTGCTAGGCTTTTAGAAAACCTTCTACAAAGCATTCTAAGTTGATTTAAATTTTAAAACTTAATGTAGGGATCTGAAAAAGAAGTTGGAGAAATTTCTGTTTTCAAAATGTAGCCCATACATTTTTGAGGACAATACCGAATTTGAACCTTTTCTAAAGGCTATGTTTTTTTTATGAAAAATATTTATTTCTGTTCGATGTTTCCAAAAACATGGCTTTCTGGAAGTTGTATTTCCGATCATTTTAAAGTTTTTCTGAGTTACTCAGAAGAACGGACACTTATTAGAACACTTGAACTGCCGATTTTATCGATATGCGCCAAGTCGTTACTGAAACAGTATTCTCATGCAACATCTTTTTTGTCATCTAGTCATTGTGTTACTAATATAGCGATGTGTGTTGGATCTTTTTCTGCTTTTGATTTCTATTTTGTTTTTCTTGTACATTTACTATGAATAGTATAAACAAACTTTTGTTGAATGTCGAATGTCGTTTATTTCAGCAAAGTTACGAACAATTAGTGGTCTTACAAAAGAAATTGACCGAATTAGATTGACTGGAAGCTTTATCTATCTGTTAGAGGTGCTATTAGTTTTTAATATAAGGGAAGCCGTCAAAATTCGCATAGGTGAATTTATTCACCGGTGAATAAATTCACCGGTAATTTGATTGGAGAAAAAATTGAGAACAGAATTATTCAATATGGCTGAAAAAAAGAATATGGAACTATCGTATAACAGAATGAACATGTATTCTTTTCTGTACTATACTTGACTTGATGTTTTTTTTCTTTCTATGCACACT